TGAAGGATAAAATAATACATTCATACTAAAAATATAATGGGGTAGTTTATAAATAGGATCAAGAAAAACCTTCTATCTCTACCTTATAAATAGGATCAAAGCAGTATATAATATCAGTTTTATTATGTCTTTAAAAAAAAATACACACGAAATTGTTGGAAACGAAAGTATGTCATTTCATATTTGAATTGTTATTCACGCCAAATTGTGTGGGACGATGGTATAGACTTGGCCAAGAATTTCCCCCTACATTCCAGAAAGCGTGTGAATTGGAGACAATTGTTTTCCATGTCGCTGTCAAATGTGAATGTTTCTTCCAAAGTCCATTAACTTCTTGACTTCCAGCTCTATCTAGCTTAGGAGTATTTTGCACGTCTAGATGTTTTTCAATTGAGGCTGAAAATTCGTTTGAGTTCTTTTTTTTTCCCCTTTAGCAAAAGATTAAAAATTAAACGTAATTGTTCAAATTGATGAAAACATATTGCTTAATATTTTAATTGCCACATTATAAGAGGCTAACTCTTTCTGTTATATCCAATCTTATTGGTGTGTGGATATGGATTTTGAGCCTCATAAACTAAAACCTCACGGTTCATGTGTTTTGGGCTGGTATTATGCCCCAAACTCTACTTTTTTTCTTTATTTTTTTTTTGTTGGGACTAGAAACTTTGCGTCTATTAACCAAGGAACAAAAAACCGGATCGGGCATTAAATCGGTCGAGACAGTGGGTCAAGGGTTACTGGTCGAACTGAGGTTGAACTAGGGTCAGACCGGTCATATTAAAATAATATAATTTAATTCATAATATTAAAGTGAAACAAAATTTATAAATAATAACCACTAAAAAAAGATGAGAAGCTACAAAAGTAGTTTAAATATTTAATAGTACCAAGCAAACATTAATGAAATGTATATTTTCACTATGAAAAATCAAAATCATCACTAAGATCATTTGCATGGGCTGAGATGTTGATAACTCATTATTTTGAATATGTTTAAAGAATGTTTTGAGTGATTTTTTGAAGAGTTATTGATGCATTTTTGAAGACTTCTAAGAGCTAATTGAAAATTTAATTGTGAGCATTATTTGGGGGGATTTTCTTGTAAATAGCTTGGTTTTAAATAAATAAAGTAGTTATAGATAATTTTACAATTATTGTTATCTTAAGTCAGTTTTAAATTTTATTTTATTTTCTTTTAGTTTTTCTTCTCCATTTATTTTATCCTTGTTTTCCCTTCCATTGCACTGCGAGGACGACAGCGTTTTGGAGACCTGAATGTGCCGACCGGAGGAAGACCTAGAATGACTATTAATTATAATTTGAGAGGCGCCGAAAAAGCCAAAAAGGAGAAGGGAGGAGGCACCAAACAGGGGATCACGGTTCATCATTGTCTTGGAGCAGAGGCTGCCGAATTGGTGAAGGGGGGTTCTGGTGCATCTTCTTCGCTGGAGACAGGGAGGAGGCGCCGAACTCATGGGTATCATCTAGCTCTCCCTTTGGTTCAATTGTTTCAGGGGGTGAGAGAGACGCAGCTACAAAGAACGGTTCTGAGGAGGAATGGTCTGAGACCCAGGAACTTAGGAAAGGAAGAAGGATTTTTTTTTTTAATCAGGTAACCTAGTGAATCGGAATTACCCGGTTCTATACCGGTTATGACCGGTTCAACCGGTTTTTTCCCCGTTCAAAATGCTTCCGGTTCAACTCCTGAACTAGACCGAACTGCAGACTAGTTCACCGGTTTTCCAGTCGAACTGGCCGGTCCGATCTGTTTTTTTTCCTTGCTATTAGCTGTATTAAAACAAATAGGAATTGGGTCTAATAGTTACAACATATTGAACTAATGTTTGAATTTTCACTGGGAGAGGTGCCTGTATTTAATATCCGATAATGTCTCAGCACATCACAAAAATATAATATATAAGTTGTCAATAACTGCCACAATAGTTGTTAATTCTTACACTTTAAATTGTTAATGACTGCTTTTTCAATTGTCAGTGCAAAATTAAAAAAAAGGGGGGGACAATTTGGCAATTAAACAAATAAAATATCTTGCAATGAGGTCCCTTGAGACTTCAAAATAATTTGATGATTTCAAGATACTTTTTTGTATTTAATTCTCTTAAATAGGATCTGATTGTAATTTTCTCAAAATTAAACATTCGGAAAAAAGTGATTTTTGCAGCTTCCTCCATGGATTTGTCATTTGTGGACCTATCCATGAGCGTGGGCCTGAGAAACTAACACCTCGCAGTGCATGTGTTTTGGGCTGGTGTTATGCCCCAAACTCTACTTCTGTAATTTTTTTTTTTTGGGGACAAGAAGCCCTACTTGAATTAAATATTTTAAAGACCTTTTCTTTTTCTCTCAAATATACTATCACCAAGAGCCAAAAAAAGAAGAAGAAGAAAACCAAAAGAAATTAGGTCTAACAAAAAAAGATTAGTCTCTCACAATATATATTGAACCAATGTTCGAATCTACATTGGAGAAGATACTCATATTTAGTGCTAATAGATTTCAAATAGAATTATCTTCAATATAAAAATACCGATACATTAGGGGGGAAAAAACAGGTGTGGGGGAGGAATTCTCCACTGAGAACCAATGAAAGCATGTTGCAAATTGATTTTGTGATAGATTGTTCCATCAACGCCATGAACATGACAAAATTTACGGTTAATAACATTGGTCGTGTGGACATAACCTAACTAAGTTACTGTGCCTATGGTAAGGGACTGAATTAAAAAGAGAATGAGCATAGACACCAATTCAAGGGACATGACCCGCTGGTCAAAAAAAAATCAAGGGACACGACCCTGCGTTCAAAAGCAACTACATAAACAGAGCGATTCGGTGACAGTATTTCTCGGCCAACTCAAAACAATGGTTATTTAAAATTTTGAAACACATGAATTATTAGCTTCCCTTATCAATTTGTATTTTATATAACATTATTATTGCCTTATTTTGGGTTTTGCCTTAATAATTTATCATGCTATTTTTCATGTTTAATACTCCTCCAGTCCTAAATATAATACTCTTTTTATAGTATAATTTACATTATAAAAAAGGTCTTATAATTAGGATTGGAGGAGTATAATGATATCTTCATGTTCACAAGTATCTCTTTCAAGCTCATATATATAACCTCATCATGTGATGTACCGTTGAAAATATAATCACTAATCTAAATCTTTTAGTGTTCAGCACGTATTCATTTCCAAGTTACAATTATTATAAATTGATTGATTCTATATATTTGAAATGGTCAAGATTTATATCGTTCGTTCATTTTGAGCTTTAACACTATTGTATATCTATTTGGAATAAGGGAAATAGAGGGAACAAGAGAGAGAGAAAAATTTAATGAACTTAATTTAAAAAATTGAAAAATAGGTTAAAAACTTTAGATTAATTTTGTTTGCTTTTTTATCTTGCATTTTTTTATCAAAATTTTTCCAATTAATTTCTGTAGCATGACATAACTGGAATAAAATGACTTGAAGATGCCAAATAAAGGTTAATTGTCCAAATGACTCCCTTTTCTAATGTAAAACCTCAGCTAAATTTTCTCTGAATTTACTACTTCCGGTCTTTAATATAAGTTATCATTTGATTTTTTATTTTAATCCTAAATATAAGATCTTAATTTACTTTATCTCTTATATTTATTTATTTATTTTAAAGATAATTCTTGTAATAATATTAGTTCTAATCAATATATAGATTAGTAAGGTTTTGGAGGCATTTCAAGACTTTAAGCCTCATATGCTTCTAGTATTTTTATTGCTTTATTGGTTCTGAGATGCAAGGAGGACTTTCATCTCTTTTGTTGCTGGATTCCATGGGGTAGGCTTGTCTTCTTTTTTTCCCTCCGCTGTTATCCGCTGCCCTCTTGTCTTTTTTTTATTTTAATTTTCTTTCTTTCTCAACTCTCCACCAAACCTTGCCACGTTGCATCTTCCTTCCTCTTTCTCCTTAACCGAAACACCCCATTTATGGTCTGCACACACAACGGAACAAGGTGAGTTAGAGTCAAATCATTATTTTTCGATGGATCAAATCCAAAAATTCAGAGTGTCAGAATATATATTCGGTACTTTTCAAATAAAGAAAAGATTCAGTATCTTTCTTATCAAAAGAAATTCTAACAATTATTCAGCTCAAAAAAAAAAAAAGAAATTCTAACAATTAATTTCAATTTTATCCCAATTTTCGTATCAATTAATATTAATATGTGTATCTATATATAATTTAATTTTAAATATTTATTACTATTCTATTTCACCATATTGTACCAAGTTTCAACCTTAATATTTTTTAGTGTTTATCTTTTCTATTTTACCCCTATATAAAAGGAAGATGATCCATCTCATTTATTAGTGTTCTAAAGGCCATAACAAGCAACGTTTTTATTAGCATACTACGTGCCTGTTTGGGTCAGCGTTTGCTGGCCCAAACGTAGCTTATAATGACTTATAAGCTCAGTGAGAAAATGGGACCGTTTGGCTGAGCATATACACAATTGGGCTTCTAAATTTTTAAGCCCGTTGAACGTGCGATTGGGAGAAGCTGGAGATGGGAGCTTCTGGATTATTGGACCGTAGCTTATGGACCGTTCTGACAAAGGAATATATTCCTTTTACACTTCTCTCCATTCATGTGCGTTCTCCCTATTCCCCCGTGAGCAGAGTCCAGCTTCTTCAGCACCACTCCCAACTTGCTCATCTCGACAAGAAGGTCCGTCCGTGGTCGTCTCCGAGAAGCTCCGGCGCTGGTGACCGTGAGCTCCGTCCCGTCATTGTGGTGAGGTCGGCTGTTGGGTGGGAGGTGTGCGTGTCCAGTGGTCGGAAGTCGTCTGGTGTTTGACCGTGAGCTCGGTCTGTGGTCGCCTCGACCAGGTCCGTCGGTGGATGCTGCTCGTTCATCACAAATCGAATCGGCAGGCTTCGGTTGGTTGGCTTGTTCATCACAATACACCGTCCAATCTACCTCTGGCAGGCTTCGGTTGGTTGGATCAGGTTGGCCGGTTTAATTTTGTTATGTTGGTTTTCCGGTTTGATCCCTGTGGTTGCTGTGGTCCTTGAAATTCCAGTGGTCCTTGAAATTCCGGTGGTCCTTGAATTTGTGGTTGCTGTCGTCCTTGATTCCGGTGGTCCTTGTGTTGTTACTGATTTCTATTTGTGATGGACCGACTTGTTAGTTCATTGAAACAAGGGCTTCATGTTTTGAATTTTATGGTTTTCGGTTACAATAATTTTTTGTTGGATGTTGGTTAATTGTTTAATGAGGATTTTCTGGTTGCATGTGGATTTTCTGCCTCTGTTTTTTACGGACGAAACAGGGATTAATGGTTCGAGGAAACGACTCTAGCTTAATGAGAAAATGAAGAGCATAAATGTGTGTATATGACCGAAGGCTTGGGTGTGCAGTGTTGGGGATTTAAATTGTTGAGTATATGTCTATGTTGTTAATGGCGAGATATGTAACTCTGAAATTGTAATTTTCAGAATTACAATGGTTTTTGTTTTGCATGTCCCTAGCTTCGGTCTCTTGGTTTTTATGGTTATAGGATTCGATCTCTATGAGGGTAGGGTAGAAGAGAATGAGATGGTAACATGGTGTATATATGTGTGTCCGGATGGTTCATTTGATAGAGTTAATTAACGGCGTTGATAGAGCAAAGTAATAAGACATTAATTTGTACTATACAAAGAAATTAAGGACTATGTGGGTAATTACTTAAAAATCATTTGGAATTAATTTCGGGAAGTCTCAATCAAAATAAATTTAATGTTGTTCTTTCTCTGTTATATTCTCTTACTTCTCTCTAATATGATATTTATTTAACTAATTTAATTATATTTAAAAAGTTATGTAAATTAGTTAATTATAATAAATATAACATATTTTTGTAAATAATCTTGTTCATCATTCTTAATTTGGTTTTTATTTGACTTTTACATAGTTAAATTAGGATAAAAATTAAACAATGTAATGCAGTTTAGGTTCAATTTATATGATATATTGAAAATTTAATTTCAAAATGTTCACAATCAATTACCACTAGAAAATAGTGGACATTGACATTGTGATTATATATTTATAATTTTAAAAAATATCGAATAAGAAAACTAAACAGCTTATGCAATTAAAATGTGTTACTTGGTGATATATGTTTGTTTGGTTACAATGTATGTGTTAATACGGCTTTCATTATTACATATTTAGGGCTTTGGTTGATTTAGTTGCTCTTATATCGATCAAAGGGCGTAGAGAAATGGATAATGACAAGGGAAAAGCGACATGGGATCATTACACGACAAAAATTCTAATCGATGTTTGTGCCGAGCAAATAGTGCACAAAGAAAGACAAGGAACATCGTTTACAAGACCTGGTTGGTTGAAAATTGAAAAGAATTTTCGGGAAAGGAGCGGGAAAATGTATGACAGGAAGCAACTGAAGAACAGATTTGATGTATTGAGAAAAGATTGGAAGTTGTGGGAAAAACTGATGTCTGGGGAGACTGGCATTGGTTATGATGCAGCCACAAATAGGGTGTTGGCCTCTGATAAGTGGTGGCAACGAAAAATACTGGTAATTATTTGTGTTAGTTGAGTTTTAATTTTGAATATCAGAACGAACAGCGCTTAATTATGCCTAATTATGTTCATGTAGGTGGACCCTAATTTCAAGAAATTTAGACATCAGGGGCTGATGTTTGCATCAGATCTGATGAAAATATTCAGAGATGTTGTGGCTTCGGGAGAGTATGCGTACGCACCATCAGCCTCACAGCCTCAGCCAGCGTTTGCTCCACAGCCTGACACAGAAGAGGAGGATGTTTATAGAGTCGGGCTAGACCAACAAGAAGGGTCAGGGGATAGTGAGGATGAAAACTTTGGTGTGGACCCAACAGCCAGTGCCTTCACAAATGACTTCGCTGCTTGCAACATAAACACCCCCGCAAGTACTGGACCAAGTGGCTCAGGAAGCTATGGAAAGAGAAAGAGGGGTGAGACATCAGATGCAAAGAAGAAGAAGAAAGTTGCTGCAACTACATTAATTTCTGATAGCCTGAGTGTCATAGCAGCTGCTTCTGACAAGCGAGCAGCAGCATTGGTTGAAGATCCCCAAATAGTTGATAAGGTTTTGGCACACCTGACTACCGTTGAGGAGCTTAATGATGACAATCAACTATATTATGCATGTGCCAAGATGCTTACGCGGTTGAGGTGGGCTAGGCGAGCCTATTTGGGGCTTATGCATGATAGAAGCAAGTTGTTGAGGTGGTTGATACCGGCAGCACAAGACCCAGACACATGGAAGTGACCTGCAGAATAGGATTTAGTTTAGGACTTAGCTGTTTAACTATTGTTATTGCACTTGTTAACCTGAACTACCTGCTGTTTTAACCTAAACTGATGTGGCATGTTGTAGGAACTTTATTAATCATTATGTAATATATTTACGCTAATTTCTACTTGTCATCTATGCGTTTGGTTTTTCTGTTTGCAGTATGAAAATTATTTACACTTTGTTTAGTGTAATCCTTATAATGCTTACATTTTGTTTTCACCATAATTACAGGGTTAATTCCAGAAATGGCTAATTGGAACGATGATTCACCATGGAATGAAGATACTTTATGGAATTGGAATAACGATTCACAGCCAAATGAAGATGACCATTCAACCATAATTAATGAGGAATTAACACAATATGAAGCAGTAGGTGCATTGGTTGGTCATTATTGTGAAATGTACATGTTTAAACAACCGTGCAGAACTAGTGAGCATACAGGGAATTTATGGGTACAAGGCATTATGAATGGGCATGATGATCGATGTCATGAAATGTTTAGAATGGATAAAGATGTTTTCCACCTCTTATGTACTAAATTGGTGGAACATGGTTTACAAAAGTCTAAGTACGTAGGAATTGAAGAAATGGTTGCGATGTTTTTAAACACGGTTGCACATGGACAATGCAATAGGATGATCCAGGAACGATTTCAACGATCAGGGGAAACTGTAAGTAGGCACTTTCATAATGTACTGCAAGCTTGTCTTAGCCTATCGAGTGAACTTATTCGACCCATAGATCCAACATTTCGTGGAACTCATAGAAAAATTGAGAACGATCCACGTTACTACCCATTTTTTAAGGACGCAATCGGAGCAATTGATGGCACTCATATACAGTGTGTTGTCCCCGCTGCAAAACGAGACAAATTTATTGGCAGAAAGGGATATCCATCACAAAATGTCATGGCTGTATGTGACTGGGATATGTGTTTCACTTTTGTCTTGGCAGGATGGGAGGGATCTGCACATGATGCTCGTATATTTGATAGTGCTATTACAAATTCATCTCTTAATTTCCCTCATCCACCTCCAGGTATATGTTTATGTGTTCCAATCATGCATGTTCTTTTAATTATTTCATACTTTTATTCATTTCACAATCTCTCAAATTGTTTCATGAATCATTAGGGAAATATTACTTGGTTGATGCGGGATATCCAACACCAAATGGATATCTAGGTCCATACAGATCTGAGCGCTACCACCTTCCAGACTTCCGACGACAAGTAGGATTCCGAAATAGCAACGAAGCCTTTAATTATTATCATTCCAGTTTAAGGTGCACAATAGAAAGAACATTCGGTGTTTGGAAGAATAGATTTCAAGTCCTCCGAAATATGCGCAGTTACGACTTCCAAACACAAGTGTATCTGGTTTGTGCAACAATGGCCATTCATAACCTTATAAGGAGACATTCGAGCTCCGACTTGTTTTTTGAACAAGCTGAAAATGGTAATAATGTGGGCGAACATGATCAGGCTGAAGCTAGTCAACCATCATCTTCAAATGTTACATCACAGTCTTCATCGCATATGAATCGCGTCCGTGATGCAATCAGAGACCAAATTATCCATAGCTTATCTATTGATTAGTTATGTAATATTATTTAGTTTCACTTTATTGCAATACTGTAAATTGGAGTTAAAAACATGTTTACCCATTCAAATTATGTTTCGTTTTATATTTGCAATTTTTTTTCCATTTCTCTTTTGTTTTCAAATTTAATTCTCTCGATCAATTTCACTTCTTCATATCAAATTAACAATAATTCACTGTATTATATCAATTCATTTTTTTTCATGTTTCACATTATATTTAAAATTTTGTTATGATTTTTTTGAAATTTTAAAATTTAATTCACTCATTAATTAGACTTCTTCATAATACATTATTTTAATTTCATTGTATTATGTCAAATCATTTTTTATTATCATATTTCATTATTTATTAACACTTATACCCATTTTAGTCATTTTATAACCAAACTCACTTTTACTCAACTATAATCCAAACACCTTTTTACCAATCTCACTTCTGCAAATTAGCTTTTCTGAACTCCAATCCAAACACAATTCAGCTTATCCAATTTAGCTTTTACCAACTTCACTTCTCCATAAGCTACTTTTCCTATAAGCTGCTTTTCCAATCGCTCATCCAAACGGACCCTACAAAAGAAAGAGGGAAAAAAACTAGAATCCTAACAAATATCTATTATATAAAGATAAAATAGAAAAGATTATGTAAAAAAATTAATATGCAAATCCCTCTAATTTCATCTGATTTTTAACAGTAAAAAATGTTTACTGTTAAATTGATCAATTTATTATATGATTTTTTTGACAAAGATCAATTCATTATATGATTGAATGTGCTTAATAATGTGTATGTGTTCAGAACTTTATACCATACTTTCGTTATATATATGTGCGCGCGCGCGTAATTTTCGTTGGCCGAAAGAAGATCAGTCGATGATCTTATCCGAAATGAGATCATAACACCAAAAAGTGAATCCGTCAAAAAAAAAAAAAAAAAGATTGGGCTTAGAACAGCAAACATTGAAAGTTGGACTTTTTTTCTATGAACACCACTTTCTGTTTGGAAAATAAACAATATGTACTTTGCTCTGGGCTTTCAATGCCTTCAAACACTCATATGTTGTACCTGTATAAATTTGGTGCAAAACCCACACACGTATAGCGCGCATGGACACGCACATATACAATAGAGTTGGTTTTCACAGAAGATGTTAATTTTTCACAACGTGATGAATTAAGGTTCTATTCCTATTAGAAGAGGTATTTATACTTAGTACCTATCTATGTTTAGAAATATATGCATAAATATATGCTGTACTAAAAATATGCTTCGGTTATAGCAGTGCAAATGTAGAATGTGATAGTCGAAGTCTCAGTGGAACCGCCGAAACAGAGCCCAAGAAAATTTGGAGCTCTAAAACTGAAATTGGAATGAAATTGTTCAGTTGCCAGCAATTTCACCGAAAGATTTTGGTATCAAAATGATGCGAATGCATTCTACTCAATTATCTTCTCCGTGGTGCTTATATCTTATCTGAATCGCTTCAAGTCTCTCGTGCTCTGCAAGTATCCGAAGGTAACTACGAGTTCCTCGTTTGTCGTCACTCTCTCTCACGCCTTCACTCTGCGAACAACAGGTACCTTCTTAGAAACATTGAATAGAAATTTAATCATTTGCTTTATTAGCTGATTTGGATAGAAATATAATCAATTCAAAGTAACTGTAAACAATTTTGATATGCTAATTGAAATAACTGATTGAGATCACAGGATTTGAAACATTTGAACACTTCGAGGCTCTATTGATGTTTTTCCCCCCCAAATACTTACAATGAATTTATTCAGGTTTAATTCTCGTGGAAAGTATTTTTATAATAAATGAATAGTTTCAGAACAAATTCCCAATATGATAATATGTTGATTCATTTTATGCTAGCGTCAATATGAAGTTTTGTTCTAGTGTCACCTGCATTCATAAAGCTATCTTTAACGGAAGGCTTTATATGGGGTAAGGAATTCAATAATGCTATAGGATCAATATTTTTAGTTTTTTTTTTGGGGTTTTGGCTTTTGTTTTTGTTTTTAATTCGCGGAGTACTTACACTACTTTTGTACCATGTTATATAACTGTCTATTGAGAGTTAACAAAAAGGAAAGGGAGGAAAACAAAAGAAAAACTATCCATTGAGGAAGTCATTTACAAAGATGTTAGTCTTGAGAATGTATGGCATACAAGTTATGCATCCCGCTAGTGTCACATATAATAATCAATGTATAAAAAATTATAAATAGGTCAGAAATGAATTTGTGCTTAAATTAAAGATCCAGAAGTATGATTCTTTTTTTACCAATGACATATTACAAAGGAGATTATGAGAGTGAAAGAGATCTTTGTACATATTACATCATTAGTAAACATGAAAACTATATACAAATATATATCACTATTGTTAAAAAGTATAAGCTGTACGTTCCCATCACTTGCATGTTCACTAGACTACTCATAGAACGAGATATGAGATAGTAGATTATGAGCTTGAAAGAGAGTATTAGGCTTTGTCAATACCATAACATCATTATTAACCAATGAAATAAGATACTAAATCATTAAAAGCAAAATCCACATTAGGGCACATCATAACTGAGTAGTGTTATCAAATACAAAGTTATGTGCTAAACTTAATGTTACTAAATTAATTAACCTCGATTTTCAATTGCAAAGTATCATTTCGCATCACTTGTACCCTCATCTTGATTGCTTTGAGAATGTATAGAGGTAGTCGTTGTTGCCTCTGTCACATTCTGAAAAATTTCACCTGGACATAGGGAGTTAAAAATTGGGATGAGAGCCAATATAGAAAATAGATAGAGAGATAAAACAATTTTTGATATGTAACCCTGATAGGACTTGGACCGACATTTTCAGAATTATTGGTCTAGGAAGGGCAAAACGAAAAAATTTGAGAAAAATTCTAAAACATGATAAACATGTGAATTATAGGTTTTGGAATCTCGATGGAGACTCCAAAAGTAAAAATTATGGAAAAATAAATTATTATGGAATTTCCTGAATGTGGAGGTTTTTTGGGATAATAGTAGAAAACTAGAAGAAAATAATTATTTTAATTAGTTAGAAGTCTCAATGATTTCAGAAAAAATATGAATTAATTAATTAATTAATTATGGGAATTTATAAAATTGGTTTTAAGCCTTAGAAGCTCAGAGATTTATTTTTAGGAATTTTTTTCTTACAGTTTTACCAATAGAAAAATAAAGAAAATTTTAGAAATTTTCAGATCATATTCTTATATGAAAAAAGAATATTTTATGGAGAGAAATGAATTTTTGGAGATCTAAAAAAATTATGAAATGTTGCTAGTGAATAGCAATCGATAAAGTTTTAAAATGGTTTGGGATTTTGATTTGGTTTGTGGGTAACCTTTTTGAGCCATCGTAACCCATTTGTGGGCCTCACATTAAGCCCATATAAGTCCCAATTTCATGATAGTTCTGG